AATTGTACATAGATGGGTACATATATGGGTGAGCCTGGATACGTATAAATGTCAACTTTTCAGTGCAAAACCCCAAACCGAGATTTACCAACCCCCAAAACCCGAAATTGTGGACTGCCGGGTGTCGGGTTTCGGGGTTCGGGGGTCCCGGAACTCGGAACTCGGTATGTGAGACAAACATATATTTCATACACGGGTAAGTCAATGTGTCCGTCAATCAACTCGATTGTAAAGTATATTTTATTGATCTCCCCAAATTTCCCAAGTTCCGAGTTCCGAGTTCCGGGACCCCCAAACCCCGAAACCCGAAACCCGGCAGTCCACAATTTCGGGGTTCGGGAGTTGGGTCCCGGCACTCGGAACTCGGTATGTGAGACAAGCAAAATATATTTCAAACACGGGTAAGTCAATGTGTCCGTCAATCACCCGAACCCCGAAATTGTGGACTGCCGGGTTTCGGGTTTCGGGGTTCAGGGGTCCCGGAACTCGGAACTCAGAACTTGGGAAATTTGGGGAGATCAATAAAATATAATTTACAATCGAGTTGATTGACGGACACATTGACTTACCCGTGTTTGAAATATATTTTGCTTGTCTCACATACCAAGTTCCTAGTTCCGGGACCCAACTCCCGAACCCCGAAATTGTGGACTTCCGGGTTTCGGGTTTCGGGGTTCGGGGGTCCCGGAACTCGGAACTCGGTATGAGACAACAAAAATATATTTCGGGGGTTGGAGGTTAGTAAAATGTTTATAGATATACGGAGGTTGATAGAAACATGTTTGAAAAATGTCGTTCGTCTCAAATGTCAAATCTTGAGTTCCGGGCTTTGGGACTCGGCACCCGGCACCCGGCACTCGGGGTTCGGCACTGAAAATTTGACATTCGGGTGTTAGGGTGTAGGGTGATATCTACCTCAATCTACAGTTTCGAGTTCTGGATATCGGGACTGATTATTGAATCATTCAATTGTGGCATAGGTAACATGCATTGAAAAAGATTTATGTACATCTATCACTGAGCAATTATGTAGCCATTGCAACCTCCTCACCAGGAAGATCAACCTTCCCCTCAACATCCATATCCTCATCAGAGGAATCATATTCTGGCAGGAGGTTACCTTGTTCATTAGGGACCACAATATCGCCGGAGGATTCTGGCAAGAGGTTGCCTGGTTCATCCAGGAGCACAATTTCGCCGGAGGATTGTGGACCCTCAGGCTGAACTTGGGTGGGCTCAACATTGAGACCTACCATAGCAGATCCATCCTCAACCATCAAGGGTGTGGGTTCCATGACTGACATGTCCAAATCAATGAGGTTGGAAAGTGTGGAGGGGAGGGGTGAAATGGACGGGGGGGGACCAGATTGATCAAGCAAGATTGTTGCATCAGCCGGTGTGTCCGGAAGTGAAAATGAAGGGTGCGGGTCAACCATCGTGCGCCGGAGGCTCTCATGGAGGCGTTGGAGGGTATCAATCTTAGCATCCTGCTCCTGCACCCGAGCCTCAAGAATAGCGATGCGAGCTGCACCATCCCGAATCGCGATTGCCATGGAATGGAGATCCGGCATGGGAACATCTAGTGCTGCACGAGGCACTGCGGAACTCGAAGACCGAACAGCTAAGTAAAAAATAAGGTCAGCCGGTCATCAAAAGTGTGGGTGACTTACGAGCTGGCGCAGGTGCAGGTGCAGGTGCAGGTGCAGGTGCAGGTGCAGGTGTCTTCTTGGTAGTGATGGTCTTGCTGCGACCACGTGACTGCACCTGGGGTGTACTTGCAGCAGGGATGGCCGGAGTTCGGGACGGGCCACGAGATTGACTACGAGTCCGGGCCCTTGACCTGGAGGGAGACGGAGCAGTGGATGGAGCAGGGGCAGGTGTCTTGGAACGCGTCCATCCCATGGTAGACTTCCCTCGGGTCCGTTTGGGCGGGGATCCCAGAGATGCCGGGTTGCATTTGATCTTCTTGGTGGAGCAGCGGATGCAAGACAGGCAGGGGAGGCTGGACCTCTTGTCCAAACGAGTCGCACAGGGCCAATTCTCCTTGACGCAATAATGGCAGGGGTTGTTCTGTGGTATCCGTTAGTAGATGTACTAGGGGAATTAATTGAGCACTCACTGGGCCGGGAATGGTGATATCAAATGTGGTAGTGGCCGGAGGGTCACCGTCCGAAGCGCTGGAAGTATCACCAGTGGACTCCTCAACTTCCGGACGACTGCCGGAGGTTGCCTGATAAATTGTAAGTACACATGTGAGTTCCGGGCGAGCTTGTAAGACTTACCCGAGCCTCCGGACGACTGATGGGAGATTCCTAATGCGATGGGCATGAGTAAGAATGATACATGCGAGTTCCGGACCTGTCCGGAAAACTCACCATGACCTCCGGACGTTTGCCGGCAGTCAGCTGTGGACACATGAGCATATATATGAGTTCCGGACGACTAAATCAGACTTACCGAAGCAGGCCCAAATGATTGCTTCTTGGGGGAACCAGGTGAACGAGGCGACTGGGGTTTCCTTACAACAATGGTGGAGAGCTGGGAAAGGACGACCTCCGGCACTCCACGTGAAATCGGCTACAACAAATTGAGAGCATGTCACAAATGAGCCAGAACACATACCTGAACAATTGGGTCTTCATCATCTTCCGACTCCACAAACGGCTTTGACTTGGGGAGTCCAGTTGACTTGACACGCTTGTGACCCTTCATCGCCGACTTCGGAGGTTGGGAGGAGTGTCCAGAAATCATGGGGGACTTCCTCTTGTTGCTCCCTCCGACTTCCGGCTCCAAGTCAACAGAAATGGCCTTACCTTTCCCTTTGTCCCGGAACTCGGAGGTCGTCTTGCCGGAAGGTCCGGCGACATTGCCGGCGACGACGGGAGGGGAGTGAATGACAGTGGCGGGGGAAGGGACAGGTGGAGACGGAAGATTGACAGTCAGTGGGCCAGTGGAAGGATTAGAAACAACAGGGAGATCACAGGAATTGTCACCCAACGCCTCCCAGGCACGGACCTGCTTGCGCCAGGCGTGTCTAGCCACCCGGGGATCATCATGGCCAATGCTGTGCCAGTTGGGCAACACCTGGGGAGTCATGGAACGCACCCTCATCAGCTCCTTAGAACAGGAAGCCACAATGTCAGGGATGTAATCCCCTTTCTCATGCACCCGGATGATGTCAGCCTACCCGGATATTAGAAACATGAATGGTAAACTAATTTAATAAGTGCAACTTACCAACAGATTGGTGAACTGCCTTGCCAGAGCAATGTGGACGTGCACTGAGCCGGCCGGGACGTGCCGGGCGCCGGCAATGATGCCCACAAGTTGAGCAGTGGATGCCTTGAGGTCGGCCAATGAAGATTGAACTGGAGTAGACATTTGGATTGAGTTGACAGATGTGAGAATGTTGAAAGCAGGGTGAAATCTGTTATCACTAGAATGAAGTTTCAAAGAAACAATACAATTGAAGGACAATGTTGAAAATCGTTGATTGTTTGTCTTTGTTTGTTCATGGTTCAACTTTCGGCAATCGCCGGCCATGTGTTGAACTTCGACGTTATCTGTTATCAATCAGTTCATCAGTTCATCAGCTCATCAGATATCATGAGCTCTCAACCTGGGGTCAGATTTCATGACCCTCCGGTCACTGAATCCACCTCAATGGATGTGGATGAGACCTCCCAGTCCCGGATGTCCCTTGGTATGTTTTGTTTCTGCTGATTTCAGTGAATTGATCTTACATGGTTTAGATCCATTAGATGATATATACCTTGGGCCGGATGATGAGTTAGACTCTGATTCTGGGTCATCCGGTGGTCTGGATTCGTTAAATGCGATTCCCGGTATGTTTCTCAATTCAAATGTACATATTCTACATGTGCAAATCCATCACATACTTCCAGATCCATCATATCCGGCCCTGGCAGATGGACTGGCCCTGTACGATGACCCAGACTTATATCTTGGTCCGGAGGATACCTTTATTTCGTCTGATGATGCTCCGGCTGTACCCGATTTTCCTATGGCTGGTGAGGTTATTCTTTTCATCTCATGTTCATTTTTCATGGCATTTCCCCAGTGAATGAATCGACTCCCGAACCTCATCCGGCCACTCCGGCTGTACCAGAGGCACCCATACCTTGTACGTGTATTCATATCATGTCATGTGTTCTATTCATGTTATCTCCCAAGCGAATTCAGAAACTCCCGAACGTCAATCGCCCGAGCCAGAACTCAACAATGAAGAACTGCGTGCCATGGTTCAGGAGTTCATGCCAATTGGATCTTATGATCAAGCTGAAAGTATGTATACAACAGTTGATTATTTATCTCTGCTAATGTTCTGCAAGTTCAAACAATTGTAGATCGCCTGGGTGATTACGAACAGAGTCATGGAAATCTTCCTGCCCCTACAGTAGCACAACTTCTTGAGGCTGACAGACCATTCAGGATGGCATGGGCTGAAACATGCGACAAACTGTGGAAAGCAGATGCGGACCTCCGGAGGATGCAACGGGTAAGGGAGTCAACCTCCGAAATGCTGAAGGTATTAGATACCCTCATTGAGTTCTTTGAGGACTCAAGTAACATGTAAATATCAATCAATGTCTGATAGTAGACATATTGCAGTATACTTTACCTACTCAGTACTTAGTCCTTCCTCGCTGCCCGGTGTTCTGTGCTCGGTACTCTGTACTCGGTACTCGGTGCTCGGTGCCCGGTGATCGGGGTTCGGTACTCGGGGTTCGGTGCAGTATACTTTGCCTGCTCAGTACTTAGTACTTGGTACTTGTATACTTTACCTACTCAGTACTTAGTCCTTGGTACTTGTATACTCCACCTACTCAGTCCTCGCTGCCCGGTGTTCTGTGCTCGGTACTCGGTACTCAGTACTAGGTGCTCGGTGCCCGGTGATCGGGGTTCGGGGTTCGGAACTCGGGGTTCGGAACTCGGGGTTCGGTACTCGGGCCTTGGTACTGGAGATTTGGGATTTAAGATTAGGTCGTTAGTACTTTGACATATACACAATAGCACATATGACATTACACATGACGGCAGGAAGATATATCTACATTAAGTGCGTCCCCGTGCTCTGGTTACTCTAGGTGTACTGTCTACTGGCATTTGCAACTTACTCCGGGTCGTCCTCGTGGATGGTTCAACTGTGACTTTCTTGCCCCGCCCCCTTTTCTGTGCCAGCGGCGTGATACTCTCTTCCATTTCAACATCCTCTCTAACTTCTCTGGTCGCGTCTTCAGTTAACCCAGCAAGGAGGTCGCCCATTCTTGATGTCAGTAATGCACCTTTTTTGGCCGGCTTGGCCCGGCGAGGCTTTGGAATTGCACGTGGGACTGCCGTCCCTTTTGGTGTAGGACCTCCCATCCTGGGTTTCTTCAGCGGATGTCTCCCGTCAGCCAGGTCATCATCCACATCATCCTCCGTATGATTAGTGGCACTCTCCTTATCACTCTCGGCTTCTGTCGACGAATCCCGAGGCCCTTGAATGGTAACCCTCTGCTGCTTTCTCACTATACAAGTCTGAGGAGAGGGCGACTTGCCAGATATGACAGATGGTACCATGTCCCCATCTTTGTTCTTCCATGCTTTGAACAGAAATGTGGGACCTTCTCCTGTTTCCTGCCGAGCATGCCAGAAATGGAGCAAGGCAGTCGTGTCCCAATTTTGCAGCTTTGAAGGCTCCTTCAAGTCAACATCTGCCGGAAGATACGTCCGGGCCACGAAGTCATCCTGACTTTGTACAATGGCACTCCATGGTACAACCGCCTTGTCCTTCCCGGAACATATCCCTGTGTCCATGCATTGAACAATTTGTCAGATGATGCGACGAGAAACTCACGATAGTGCGATGTAAGAAAGGCCCTCACTATGGCCTTCTTCTCCTCAAGTTTCGTGTCGGTGATGTCGGGAAGGAGTGGCATACCCTCCCCATCCATTTCGAGTTCGAAAGCTGGTTTTCGAATTCTTTTTCGACCTCCCTTGACCTGATGTCCTCCATCCCGTGCCCCGGCACCTATCATCTTGATGCTCAACATGTTCAATCTGGTATACATGGTTCAAACACTCACCGAACTGTTCCTGCGCGTACTCCTGCCACACTGGCTCAATGTCCTCCCAGTCCTTTGTCTTCATGAAGCTGTCCCCATCTCCTAAGGCCTCGTTATCATCATGCCTGCATGAATATTTTGAGATGAAAGATCCGTGTCAATGGGTAAATGTACTCACATCCCGAACAGCACCTCTCCCTTTTCATTCTTCCAAGCCGACATCACAAAAACTCTCATCCCACATTGCCTCCACATCTCGTTCAAAAAGTGCTCCATATATGCCGGACCCTTCTTACGGGCGACTTGTGCTTGTATCTCCGGAGGCAGACAGTTGTTGGACCACTCTTCCGCTGTTTCTTTCGCCTTCTCCAACTCGTCGTCGTCCAATTCAGCCATGACTCTCTTCACCGCCGCCTGGATAATGTTTGAACATACCAGGATCTCCGGGCTTTACCCCGACTCGTCCTCAATCCTCTTCAGCACCTCTTCGCGTTTCTGCTGGTAGAACCACCATCCTGGGCATCCATTTCCTCCCATACTTGATGGTGTCCTTCCTTTCCTTCTTTTTCTTGTTGTTGAACAACCAAGTCTTGTACACCTAAGATTTGATGAAAAAATGTGATGTTGAAAATTTAGTTTTTCAACGCAACAAAGGAGCATCACCTGCTTCCTCTTTTTCCATTGTTTTTGGTCCACCTTAGGAGCAAACAACCTGGCCGCCCTTGCTATGGCAGTGAAAATCCCCCTCTTCTCACTCCTTTTGGCGGCAGTCCACTCAGGAAGGTAGTTCTTCAACTCCAAAATCTCCTTGTCTGTGAGCTTCTGAGACTGTGGTTGACGCGCCCTGTGTCTTCCGGAAGTCATGTTGGTGGAATGACCTGTTCTTGCCATAGTGAATCAGAATGCAGAACGGGCTGAGGATTTGCAAGGTAGAAGTATTAATGAATTGTGCGAAGTTGAACTTCGAGCAAAGCCTAATAATATGTTAATCGGCCCATATTGGACCATGAAGCCATTAATGGAAATGAATTTGTAATGAGCCAACAGGACTGCACATGCATCATATTGCAATAACAATTCATTACACCTGAGCTGATGCCTTGCTTGCAACATTAGTAAACAAGATGAAGATAGGTAGATGCACCCCAGTGCAAAAATCTCACAGGGTGGAAGCAAGGGGCAGCAAAGGTAGGAAGACTTGGGTCAAGGTCCCACTTGCAAGCACGAGGCGACATGCCTACAGGTCCATGCCTAACTCTCCACCAGAATCACCAACAATTCAGCCTGTTGAGGCACCACCTCCTTGGGAAGACTTTCCTGACAATACTTATGAGCAGGACCAAGGCTCATTTGAGCCTTTGCAACTCCCAAAAACCATGGCAAGTTCATGTACAATGTTGGAGTGTCATTCAAACTATGGCTAAGCATTCAAAATACAGAGTCAAAATGACTACCTCAGGCAATGGCTGCCAAGGCAGGAATCATATCTACATCACCTCCTCTGATCGAGAAGCTCCACCAGAAGACAGGAGATGCATCATCTGCGAACAGGATGGGGTGTACAAATGTCAAGATTGTCTTGGCGAGCCACTCTATTGCACGGGCTGTTGCAGGAGTCAACATCGTAGCAATCCTTTCCACTGGATCAGTCAATGGAATGGGCGATTCTTCGAGCAGGAGTTGTCTAGCTCATGTGGGACTCATTATACACCTTGGCCATGATGGCAAACAATGTCCTGGAGGTCACCTGATCAGTGGAATTTGTTTGAAGAAGATGAACCTGAAGATCTGCTCGAGCCTGAAGATCTGCCATTTGTGTCGGACCGAGTTCCAGCCAAAGGAAAACACCATGGTCATTGTAGACAAGTCCGGAGTTCATCGCCTGGAGATTCGATGCTGTGAATGTCCGAATGCCATGAGTCCGGACATTCAAATGTTTCGACACAGATTTTTCCCTGCATCTTTCAACAGGCCAAAGACTGTGTTCACCTTCAGAGTGCTCAATGATTTTCACTGGACAGCCTTGAATGTGGCACCTCGGCGATGAACTATTACAGCAAGCTCCGGCGAATGACCTCCAGCATGTTTCCACACCTTGTTCCGGTAATGCCTTACCCTCTTCATCTACTGGACATCATATTGACAAAGCACATTGCAAGGACCGATACAGAGAGCTCATGAGGGTCGCTCGACAGTGGAGGCAGTTGAAGACAATGAAATGGCATGGCTTTGGCCATCGTTCTGATAACCCGAGCACAGGAGAACTCGCATTATTTTGCCCGGCAGTGTCCTCAGCCAGGGATTAATGTGCTGTTGTCAGAGGATGAATCTCTTGATGAGTGAGTCCTATTCTCAACCAATGTGGCCTCCATAATAATACTAGCGATCCAAGCTGGAAATACACCCGGTCATTTGTGATGGACAGAAATTTCAAAGCCGAACATCTGCATCCCATTAAGCCATTCGATGAAGTTTGGCTGTCCGATGGGCTTGGATTCATGGTAGGAAAGGACAGGTATAAAATGCATCTGGCAGAGGCTGCTGACACAGTGGAAAAATCAAGCTGCAACAATCACCGGGCAGTAAATCAAGCTAATGCTGCTCGGCACAAGCTGGAGTCCACCGGTATCGGGGGAGTTGCCTGTGCCAGACACGGTTGCTTTGTCCCTCACTCCATGGTGGATTTTCAGAAAGGCGAAAAGGCAAGCCACATCCACCATTCCCCATTCACGAGTTAACCATGGGTCACTTGCAGACAAATGAACATGGACTATGCCCTTTGCGAGGCTTCCAGCACAACATGGAAGGCATCACCAGGGCTGTCACCTTCTATGATATTAATTGTCAATACAACAAACACTTTCGGGTTCGGGTGGATCGAAGTCGATTTCTAGAAATGGCACCACAACTAACCATCATTCCCGGAATTGGGTTTGGCACATTCATGGCCATCAGGACAGCTGCTATGTCCGATATGCTTCTAACTTTATTGAAGGCATTGGTCGGATCGATGGAGAGATCATGGAGACTCTATGGGCACGGCTCAATCTGATCTCCCCTGCTGCTCGGGGAATGTCATCTCCCCACTGAAAGGAATGCCTTGATTATCAGATGAATGACTCCAATTTCTGCAAGATGATTCGCATGAAAGGACTCTATGCGGAAATACAACTGGCTAGGAATGGTATCTTAGAAAGTGGAAAGGCATTTCGACAGACTCGATGAAGCAGCACCCTTCACATTTGAAGACAGAATGGTTAGCCAGGGAGAGGATAGCTCAGTCAAGCAGATTGAATGATCCTTCAGCGATGGATGAATATGAGATCAATATCAAAAAAGGGTACAGTTGAGTTCCATTGTCTCCGTCGAGGTCTGAATTAATATTGCACTCAGCACCTAAGCAAAAAGGAGATCGAGCTTAGATTGTTAGAGGAGGGTACGCCCGCATGCAGCACCCTCTCGAGATCTGTGGCGACGTGGATATCAACAGGGTTAGCAATTGAAGAGGCTCAGATTGCATTGCTCATCGAGGTCCGAAGGATCGGAAGAAGATCCACCGAGACACAGAGATTAGACATCGCCCGTCAACGCGATCGGCTCCAAGGCCAGATAGATGGATTTGCTCGGTCTGCTCTAACACATCTCGGGGAGGGATTTGATGCAGATGATGAACCTGAAGGACTGGGACGTAGACATTCTAGATGATCTCGATGATGACCCGGCGGATTTCACAGAGACATCTCATACATGGACAAACTCTCCCGAGCTCACTGTAATCCCGTTGCCATCAAACCTGGGGGTTGATAGATGCAGACGATGCATGGCAGAGGATCTGATTCCCCTGGAGATGTCTCTTCGTGAAGGGCAGGCCAATGATGCCCTTCACAATCTCCGCATTTACCTTTGCAACAAGGCCATCCTGTTCCGAACAACCGTTAGGCAGGCCAAATCCCAGGCCCTGAAAACTCGAGCTTGGTCCCAGGTGACGTCGGTGCAGCAGGCAGTCCTCCCTCCATGCCAGCATATATACAAAGACAAGGAAGCAAATGATGAAACTTGAGCCGGGCAAGACCAGCTTCAGAAATACAAACCCCTGCTTCGCGAGCACTCAAAATCAGCACTGCAGTGGGCGACCCAAATGCCCGAGGTCAACGAAATGAATCTTTGGCTTGGTTTTGGTCTGTTGAAGTCGACCTCGGGGTCCTGATCAATCGTGGAATGAGGAATGTGAGTTCCTGCTTGCATGTCATATCCCGCGGTTACCTGACTGGACCCATGCCAAGTTTACCGAGTCCATTGGCTGAGGGCAAGGCACTACGAGATCGATGGAGGGAGGAAATGCTATTGGTCAAATTGGAGATGGATTGGACATGTAAGTTCTTTTGTGGAAAAGCACCCAATGGGGCGAGCACATGCAGGAATCATTGAGAAACACTTCCGGTCACGGATGCTCGACCGGAAGGCAATCCCAAATGTATTCATTGCTGGCACAGGATGCGCAGGCAGCTTTTCAAGACCTACAAAATGTGTTGATAGAGGCTGGAGATGGAATGAACATTGTTTTCTCATGAAGTCCCTTTTTCCACATACATAATTGAGGCCCGGGAATTGTCCGGGTCAGCCCATGTCGGAGTTTGAATTTCGTATCCATCCATCAGTGATTCTTATCTTCACATCTTCACCATCTTTCACTTGCATTGCCAGCGCCATAGTCCTGTATTAGCCATGCCTGCAACTCCTGCATCCACTTCTGGCACTCTGAATGCCGGAAGCCATTACCGACCCCTGAAGCTGAGCCTTGGAACTATTTCCTGCACATTGGCAATGGCTGGATCGCGGGTCCGTGCATGCATCTCTCAATATCAGACGGAAGCTGCCAACAATGGTCTATCTTCTGACCGGATAAAGTATTTTAAAGCCGGGCTGCAATGGGAGATGAATGTATGTTACCACTGCCCTGATGACTTTGTTGGTCAATGCTAAGAATTTGAGCAGACTTTTGTCACACCACTCCTGCAGTACTCAGCTTCACAGAATATTGTGTCGGTTCTTCCGGTCCCTGTTGCTTATATCCTTAAGTTGTATCCCATGCTAACCTGGAACACGGTTCCGGACGATGTCTTTTCATTCCACCTCCTTTCATTTGATGATGAGGACAATTGCAGGACATCCATCCCGGATTGTGTTTGCATATACATGTCCATGGTGGATGGGAAACACCACAATCCCGGATCAACCATGGCAGTGGGATGAAATAATGGCTTCCTGCGTCTCTCACTACCAGTATTGGGCGGTAAGATGTTAGCTAAATTGCCTTGATTGAATGACTTATCTGTTCTAGCTTAATGTTGAGGATGATGCTTTGGTTCTTCCAGAGAAGTTGAGAAACACTTCGACTCCACCACTTATGGGACTGAGGTGGATTAAAGAACACATGGAAGCATTGATGGAGGAGCAAGATGAGGGCATCAAAGCCAAGATGGCAGAGGTGAAGATGTACACTGACATGTTAGAGAAATTGAGGAAAGGCAAAGGAGTGTAGTCCCATTCAGTGTTCATTGTATACAAGATGTAAAATATTCTATGCATTCAAAAATCTTGCACCCGAGTCCCGGAAGCCCAGGTCCCGAGTCCCGAATTTCGGAGTTCGGGGTTCGGCGACCCGGAGCTCGGCAACTGTGTTGGGTGTCAGGGTATCCGGAGCATTGGAGATAGCATGTGTCAGTATTTTGCGTTTCATGGTTCATGTTTGGCTGACACATGCGATCTCCAATGCTCCGGATACCCTGACACCCAACACAGTTGCCGAGCTCCGGGTCACCGAACCCCGAACTCCGAAATTCGGGACTCGGGACTCGGGTTTCGGGACTCGGGACTCGGAGCTCGTGACCTGGGACTCGACAGTGTTCTGAATACCGAGTCCCTGACGCCCGATTCTATAATCACGAAAGATTCCATAATCACGAAAGATGAACCATGAAACGCAGAATACTGACACATGCTATCTCCAATGCTCCGGATACCCTGACACCCAACACAGTTGCCGAGCTCCGGGTCACCGAGTCCCGAAGCCCGAGTCCCGAGTCCCGAATTTCGGAGTTCGGGGTTCGGTGACCCGGAGCTCGGCAACTGTGTTGGGTGTCAGGGTATCCGGAGCATTGGAGATAGCATGTGTCAGACATGCATGCATCTGACACATGCGATCTCCAATGTTCCGGATACCCTGACACCCAACACAGTTCGAGTCCCAGGTCCCGAGTCCGAAACCCGAGTCCCGAGTCCCGAATTTCGGAGTTCGGGTTCGGTGACCCGGAGCTCGGCAACTGTGTTGGGTGTCAGGGTATCCGGAACATTGGAGATCGCATGTGTCAGCCAAACATGACCATGAAATG